AATATCGCCACGGTGATACGAATTAACTCGTGTGGACCGAGAATCAAATTAATTGCCGGATTCGAGCGGTCTCGTTGACATTTTCGCGCGCCAAACTGATGATCTTCGAATGCAACACTTTTCTCGCGTATCGCTTTTCGACGAGGTTAATTCCAATTTGAATTTGTACATCGTATAATTAAGTACAGCGAGTAACTTTGATATTCGAATACCGCACAGTTTTTATTATCTCATATTGTAATTTCGTTCACCATCAGCAAAATTGTTTCAATTCATTTACGCAATGAGTTGCATCAACTGTAGTTCAATCTATCTCGTTAGAATAATTTATTGGAGCTTTTAGCGATCAGTATTTTTTATTTATACCGAAAATGTAAACTTTTAGCGGCTACACTGGCTACACGTAAGCAGCTAAATTTATTTAGTTAAAATAATTTAATAGTACAAGGTAGTAAAGTGTAATTGTTAAATTTATTTATCTCACTTAAAAATTTACGATTCTAGCAATCATACTGCCACCCATAAGTATTAATACTTATGCTGTGCCTAATCAGAAGTCGAATGCTTTCTGTTACTTTTGTGATCTACTTTTATTTTATTTTATAAACTTGTTTTATAACTGCAAATGTTTGAGAAAAATTCATATTTTTATAGATACAATTCTGACGTTTTTTGTAAACTAATTTGCATGCATTTTGCATACATCGTTTGATAAGATAGTGTCGTGAAACTATTGCTATTTGTGGATCTATGGATCGTTTGTTGGAGTAGGTTAACGTTCGCGTTCTACTTTACAGAGAATGTAACAGAAACTTTGTGATGATACTTTAAAACAAACGAAAAATGGAACATCTCGACGAGAAGGTTCTTAAAGTAGGTCCTTGGGGCAAGTTGAGATTATTCTCCCTCAACACGGAATCCTGCACGAAATCGATGCTTCGAACATGACTGATAATTTATATCGAAACTGTACATTTGTATCAAACCAAAAGGAAAAGAGATACAAAATCTTAATGAAAAATTTTATAAAATCCAACCGCGTTATAGTTTACTCGTCGAAAGCGATGATCAAAGAAATCACAAGTGAAGAAAATTAATCAAATATCCATATCATATTCGAAACTCGTACAAGTAGATACATCGAATAAATTAAATTCGATCCACTGCACCCGAAACGATCGAAGAAATCACAGAAGTCGAGAGATTCGAAATCGCGTTCTATTCTATTAATTTTAGCAGGTCACACTGTTTGTAAGTCGTAAGTTAACGAACAAAAATATTTCCTTTGTTGCTTTTTTCTATTCATTTTAATTTTTCTATTCCATTAAAGTTCTCTCGATAATAAATCTATACGAGATGTAAATCGCTTCGACGATTTTCTACAGAAAAATAAAGAGGTGACTCGTGAATGGAGGGTTAATCGCGTATTAGCAAAATCGTGGAGGTTGATATCAAATAAATCGAATTCGGTTCAATCGAGCGCAGAAAAGGTGTTCGACTTTTCATTTTCGTCGCTGAGGAACAGCTCGATGGGCGAAACGAGGGACGAAGAGGGGAAGGGTGGTTTTGATCGTCGATAGGAGGCACGGTCGCGGCTGGCTGATTGTCGAAGGGGGTGAGAAGAGAGAGGCTAAGACAGGAAGAAGCGGGACGGGGCCAATCAGAGCGGGGACTTTGAGGGTGTCGTTGCCTGGCAACGAAACACACCCCAACACCCGAGGGGAGAAAACCCCGAGGGGTATCATCCAGCGATACAGTCGACGCCGAAAGTTATCGCACCCCTGAGAGACGCCCCCTTTAACGTCGCCATCGAATTACGCCCTCGACGTCCGGACACTTGCGGGTTGTTGCGTTCGTGCCAGCCAAAAGGGATCGATGGAGACGTCGAGGACACGCTTCCACCTCGAATTCGTTCGAAAATGGTTGTTCGTTAAGCCGGAATTTTCGATAGGATAGTCGATATCGGCTGGAATTGCTTACGGAGGCATAAACTGAGAAATTATTAATTATTTACACTGTACATGGTATCGTCCCGTTTATGCCGAAGCCATGAACATGCAAATTTCCGCTTAAAGAAATAGATTTTGAATATCCTTTTCTTGTTCTTATTGTTAGCTATTTGTTCATAGCTATAGGATGTTAGTTATAAATGTACTAACGTTTGAATAAAGTTCGAGAAAATTATTGACAAATTTGTTTTATAGATTACTTTACTATGGGAATAATTGGAATTTTGTGTTTGTCCTGTAGATTTTTTTTCTATGAAATAAATATTTGTATTTGTACGTAGGTGGTTCTCTAAAGTGGGATTACTTATTCATATTGGTATTTAACTTTTCATTTCTCTGCGTTTGGAGTGAATCATTTATGAAAATGGAATTGTATTTTAAAGGATTATAAAAATAGGTGTTATAACATACGTATATGAATTATTAATTATTTACACTACGGTGTACGTATTATAATTTGATTTTATTGTATTAATTTTTTAAATCTCCTTTTTGTTCAACAAATATTTTCGTCTTCATAGGTCGTTCTGTATATCACGTTGAAACTTAAGATTTTCTCCTTCATATACGGATATTGAATATCGAATATTGATGGAGACATCGCTTCGAGGAAATGGCTCGACGTGGAATTCGTTAGAAGATGATAGTTTCGTAATTAAAATGTGTATTTTTTAACTTTTATGTATTTAATGTGGAAACGACACACTTTTTATATTTCATTCTAAATATTTGTCATTTTAAATTTCCAAGAAGAATTTTCGTGAGAAGCGATAAAATAAAATCAGATACTTTATGATCGTCCTAAATTAATAAATAATCTTATCACACAATGTTACAATACGTCTATGTAGAAACTCACGAAGAATCATTAAAATAATGTCGATTAATATTCATAATAATACCACCTCCAAAACGGGATCTTCTTATCCTATCGATATTGGTTCAACCATCCACAAATACAATCTTAAAATACAGTCTAAAGACAATCTAAAATATATTATGCACACAAAATATCGATATAAAAATAAAATCTCATCGATATTACAAAACGTGCCTGTATAAAGACGATGTAAACGAACACAAAAATAACATCTACATCGGTAGAAGTTCATCCACCTGCTGCTCGAATCTTATCAACGTCAAATATCATCCATCACAGTACCGCGTCCTCAATCACGAAATGGCTTCACCTCGCATTCCTGCTCGTCAAACATCATGTCAAATATCATTCATCAAACTACCCCATCTGCATCGAGAAATAGATTTACCTCTCGAAAATCTTCGAATACCCCGTGAAGGACCTCTGCCAGTGATCTTCGTACGCGTTCGTCGAAATCCGCTTACGAATAAACATCCATTTCATTGGCTTTTCACTGTCATTTCACCATCATTTCTATTTTTCTGACTCGAAGCAAACCGAGGCACGCGAAAGGATTAAAACCGCCCCTTCTCCATCTTCTTCGGCCCCATCTGTGCGTTTCCTTCGAGTAGCTTGGCCCCTTTTGTCGACATCCAGCGAGAGGGTGGATTAAACCACCCCTATTGATCCCGCTCAATGGATTCCCTGCCCTTTCACCTGCCACCGATCCCGCTGTTTTGACATTCCTCTCGCTCGTCTCCTCGTCTCGTTTTCACAGGCATTAATAGAACAGAACGAGCGAAAACGAGAGGAGAGATGATCTCTCTCTCTCTCTTTCTCTCTCTCTTTCTCTCTCCCTGTCTGTATTGCGAAGAAGAGATCCTTTTCAACGGCGAGGAACTTCCTAAATAAGCGTAATCCTTTTCAGTTAGTCGAGCGCGCCCCTTAGAAATCGCTCGCATCGAGGATGCGCCCGGGGATCATGCGAATTCGATGAAAGATTCCTGTCCCTTTTCCGACGTTTCGCCCCTTGGCCTCGTTTTTATTTTCTTTTTTTCTTCTTCTTCTTCTTCTTTCTACTCTCCGTTTCTTTTTCTTTTTTTTTTTTGTTCTTTGTGATCTGAAAATGAATCGGCGGATTTTTGCTTATTTCTTATTCGGCTTCCTCATTGTGTATAAATGGCGCGGGACTTGGAATGTATAAGGGAAGGGGTTGAAAAGGGCTGAGATATAACGGATATAGATTTGAGAGCTACTTTTTATTGTACGAGATTAGGAAATTTCTTGAGAATGTGATATTTTTTATTGCAGTTGCTCTTTCTACTTTTTACGATGCACGAACGAATCGGCGGATTTTTGCTTATTTCGCATTCGGCTTTTTTTATTGTGCACAGGATCTTGGAATATATTACTATGAACGATCGGGAAGAAATATTCCAAGTTTTCGAGAAATCTTCAGGGAAAAATTCGTAATTTCTTTAATAATCTTTGCGTAGAATTTCTTTCCACAAAAATTTTAACATATAAGGAAAGATATGAGAGAAAGGGTTGAAGAAGATTGAGATGTAGCGCATATAAATTTCAAATTCGCAAGCTTTTCCAATGGAATGATATTTGTTGTTATACAGTGTTTTATTGTATTTTATTATACTTCGCATCTTTGCTTATCTTTGTATTTTTATCGTATATAAATAAACAAATTCAAAGTGTATAAGAAGACGCAGGGATTGGAAGAACATTAGATTAAGGAGGATATAGATCTGACAGATTCTTTTTAAATTTTTTATAGTAGTTTTAGTAAGGAATCAGTAAATTCTTTAATAAACGAAATGAAACAAAGCTTCTAGAAATAGAAAGAAAATTTATATATAATTTGTATTTTTTTGTATTATCGTATTTTTGGGCGCAAGAGGTGGAAGAAAGAGCTGGAAGGTTTTGAGTTAATAACACGAGTTCTTCGGTTGATAGCGGATAAATTGTAAAAAGGGTGGTTGCAGAAGGAAGATACTTATCGAAGAAAAGAATTATTGACATACCTTTTCTCTCGTAAAAGAATCTCAAGTATAATTTCTTGAACTCAACGACGGTAAAGGACAGATTTAAATATTTTTATCAAGCGGAATTTGTTTCAGGGGACTGCAAATCAACGACGTCGCACGAAAACAATGGAGAAGACCTTCCTGAAAGCTCGAGTACGAAATGTACGGACTATTGCGAAGACTATGACGAGGAGGAAGATTTCGAGGACTCGTATGAAAAATCGTGAGAATTACTCCAACCTCGTAACCAAATTGTTCAATTCGTTTTTGTTCGTATAAATGTATATTATCGTTTTAGAAAGAAGATAAAGATATCAAAAATATTCTACGGTACGCGAACGCACAAGCAAATCGAACAGGTTGTAAGGGAATTAAGGAAAACTTCGTACAAACACAAAAAGTAAGAAGTTTTTCAGTAGCTTACATTGGAAGGAAATTTCTAATTTAATTGCTCTTTCTTTTTCCTCTTTTTCTTAGAATGACTATTTTGAGCAGTAGAGAGCACACTTGCATCCAAGAGACCACGAAAAATAAAACTGAGCTCTGCAACGACCTGTTGGACACTCAAAATGTTTGTTTTCACTCAGATCCCAAGAACTAATCGACTTTCTGATTGTCCGTAGAATTTTTCGAAACTGCCTCCAACGCTTTGACTCTATTCTAATTTTGTAAAAAGAATCCTCGTGAACAAATCTCAAGTTCTAATTTTCGAAGAAATGTTCCAATGTTTCAAGAAAAGAAAATCTTCGTGGAAAAATTCCAACTTCCTAAATTCCAAAGTTTCCAAAATTTCTTCGATAATCTTTCCAAACAATTGCTTTGCGTAAAAATGTCCTCCAGACGAACTTCTACATTTTGTCCCCTACTTCGAAGGCGAATTTTCCAATGTAGTTAAAAATGCAAAAAATTCTTGTAGCACAAAGGCTGTCCGTTTTACAACGAATCTAACAAAAAGACCATTGCAACGTTTCGCGGGGTGAAAAGTCGAGGTTTGGACGATATATGGGACATCGAAGACTTGGTAGCCATCGGAAAAAACGAAGGACTGTGTCCATATTTTGCCGCCAGAAGTTTAGCGGAACACGCGGACATTATTTTCTGCCCTTATAACTACATCGTCGATCCCGATATTCGTGAAAGTGTGAGTCTATTTATTAAAATAATACGTAGAAAATATTCTACTGAAGTTTCATAGAATATCTTATAATTGATTCAGATGCAACTCGATGTGACCGGCCATGTGATTATCCTGGACGAAGCTCATAATATAGAAGACATCTGCAGAGAAGTTGCAAGCGTTAGTTTTCGCGAGGATCATCTTACAGCCGTTGCGAGTGAATGTGAATCTCTTATGAAACAAAGAGCTGCAGATTCCGAGATTTATGGAACTCTTCAAACGTATTCCCTCAAGCTGGTGGATTTTCTGAAGATCACGGTCGTCGATAAAGTCGTAAGCCTTTTGTTAATTACTCAAGAAATTATTTATACAATAAAATTACACGATCGCTTGATTATAATATCAAAATACGTATGGTATATCTATAGCACTTCAATCCAGTTTTCAATTGAAGATATTATACCTTGTTATGTATTTTATTATGGTATCTAATCAATCTAATTAAAATGCCACAATTATTTAGTATTTAGTTCATTTTTAGTTAATCTAATTTCAAACTATTTAATACTAGAGAAATCTAATCTATTAATTCTTTTACCACATTCATGTTAACTCAATTTGTAAAACTATTGTTTCGAACAGTTAAATATTTTCTAAAGATCTTCCTCTAAAATTGCGATATAGTAAATTCTGTTAACAGGGCTATAACAGCGACAATCTTTCAAGTCCGTACTGGACCGGTGCAGAGCTGTTGGAATTATTTAACATGAACGGTTTAAACGAAGCCATGTATACCATGTTCCTGGGTGCGTGCAACGCAGCAATTGCAGATTCGAATAGAGCGAAAGAGGAGAGGAGAACATTCCAGAAAGTGTTACAGCCGGTCATTTCACCCACTACTAAGAAATTAATTGAACAACTAATGTTCACTATACGGATGATCACTTCTAGCGAATACATGAACGACTTTAGGGCCTGTGTAACAGAAACCACAGTAAAGGATTTCAAATACGTAAGTGTAAAATTGAAAATCCGTTTTTTACAATTGCGTCTAATTGAAGAAAATGAAATAAAGTTACAAGGCGCATATAAATTATTTTTCCAAGTTATGAGTGAAAAAAATAATTTGAAACAGAAGAATTCTCTAAGACGATTATTTTAAGAAATTGTGCAACCGCCAATGATATTATATTTAGGATTTAGGAATCATTCGAAAGTTATTTTTTCGAATGTTGAATAAAAAGATGATAAATTTACTTTTTTAAGATCTACAAATTCTTTATATTCTCTTATTTTAAAATATTTCAGATCCAATTGATTTAATAGGATTTAAAATCTCTGTTCCCCTAAAAAAGATTGTATTTAAAAGGAAATCACAGAATTTCTGATTTCTTCCCAAAATCGCAGGCTACCGAGAATACATGGTTGTCATCGAAAGTGTGTACACAGCGTGCACGAACCTTGAAACTACTGTGCATGAATCCGGGTGTGACATTTGCACCGCTTGCTCGACAAGCGCGCTCTATAATCCTCGCGTCCGGTACCCTGAGTCCGACTGCGTCGTTCCAAAGCGAATTGGGAACGTCATTTGCACACGTGCTCAACACCGGCCACGTGATACCCAAGGAACAAGTTTACGCAATCTGCGTACCTCAAGGACCGAATGAAGTTAAACTAAGGGCGAATTATCAATCTGTGAACAGCTGGGCTTTTCAAGTATGTTATGCATATATACTTCCTTCTTTATAATTGTAATAACAAAATTACACATTTTCTCTTGAGAATAGTTTAACGTATTCACTATTGCATACTAAAATTCGACCTTTCAAGTATTATGTCGCTTTCTTTACAATTTTATTTAACTTTTGATAAAATTTCTAATTTCCCTTTATATAATAATTTAGCACTTATAATAAAATCGCTTTTTTAGTCGTTGCGTTACTAAATTGGAGATTTTTATTATTTCAAAGTATTGTCCTGTTCTGTTTGAGACAGCTGATATATGATTTTTTTCCAGGATGAACTAGGTGCAGTATTGTTAGATGTTTGCGAGTCAGTGCCACATGGAATCCTTTGCTTCTTCTCATCTTATAACGTGATGCACACACAAATGCAGAGGTGGATAAGTAATTCCATTTGGACGAAAATCACCAGTGTGAAGCAAATCTTCATAGAACCACGCTATGGTGGTGATCTTAAAGATATCATGTATGAATATCGTCAAGTGATAGAACAGACATCTGGTAAACGAAGAGGAAAAATCACTGGAGCTTTATTTCTGGCTGTCTTCAGAGGAAAAGTAGCAGAAGGAATTGATTTCAAGGATAATGAAGCACGTTGTGTCATTACTGTAAGTTTCTACTACTTAGACCGTTTTAATAGAATTGAAAAGAGAAAATCACGAACAAATTTACAATATTATTGTTTAGGTTGGAATACCATATGCAGTAAGGAAAGATCCTGTGATTGATATGAAACTGAGTTATAATGATACGAACGTTAAGAAAGGATTGTTGAAGGGTTCAGAGTGGTACAGTATACAAGCTTTTAGGGCATTGAATCAAGCTTTAGGTCGTTGCTTGAGACATATTAACGATTGGGGAGCTGTATTGCTAGTCGATGAAAGGTTGTTGATAATTTAGCAGAATATAAATGAAAAGTTTTTGTTAGAAGTATGATTAATTCGTTTATTCTTTAGGTTTCTGATGCATGAAAATAAGGAAAATCTCCCAAAATGGGTCAAAACAATGGTAAATTTTTTAGCATTTTAACTTAGCATTGCTTTAATTGCTTTAATAGTTTCATTAATGATTTATTTTCAGTGGGTCAACCAAAATGGATACAACTTGAGAGAGAATCTTAAAGACTTTGTATCAAAACAAAAGGCAAGAGAAGAAAAACAATTAGGAATTACAAACAGTTAACGAAACTGGATAAATTAAGAAATATGATGATATTTAATAAGATTATGTACGTGTTACAAATTGTGATAACATTTAAAAAGTATATACATATATTTAATTTAAAAACTGTATTTGTAAACGAAATGCATATTTTGTTGATATATCACATGATATTCTAACTTTTACCATTAATGACATAGTCTTAGATTTTATATACATCACAAACAATAGTTTCAACAAATCCTTTTTTTCTACAGATTGAGCGTATCTCTTTTTTGTATCATTCTTAGATGTTTTTTCTTAATCTTCTTTAATTTTGCAGTATTTGTAATCTATAAATAAACGTTATATTTAATCGTAATTTTACATTTTTTTAAATTATTAATTTAATTTTATACTGGAACAATTGTAATTATTAACAATGACACTTACAACTTGTACAACTTCACCCTTCTTCTCATTTTCCTTTGTGCGTTTTAGATTAGCCCTCCTTCTTTCTTTCTTTGCCTCCTTTTCTGCTTGTTTTTCTGCCTTTATCGCTCTTGACATTTCTTTAACGTGTTTTAAATCATCCCTCAATTTTTGTTTCTTGTCAAAGGACAATCGTATGCCACGTGTTTTCACGATAGATGAAAACCTGTTTAGAAAACACACAGCCTTTAAGGTTAACCTCAACAAAATCAGATATATTTTTCTTTATTCTACGAACCTCTTCTTTTGTTCCTTCCATATCCTACCAGACTTTGGTTTACCTTTTGGAATTTGTTGCTCGAATGATTTTTCTTTCTTAGCTTTTACTTTTTTCGTATTATTGGTAATAATTATATTATTTGTGTCTGCAATATCAGACAATTTGTCACTCAATATTTCTTCTGCTGTGGTTACTTTTTCGTCAGTCGTCATTTTTCATTAATAATTTTATTTCAATAACAGTATTATAAATAAATATTGCTTTTCTACCAGTAAACAATTAGAATAGGTTATGTATCCACGTGGTTACGAACACCATATTGGAAATGGTCCTAATAAATTAGAGACATCTGTCAACATATGCTGGAAACTTCTACCCAAAATAAATTCGTGACTTATTTTGACTTCAACAAGTACTGCCAATGGTTACCCTAGTAACTTTAGTAGTAATTTTATTCAGTTTAGCGCGTTGACCGTTAGATACCACTATAATCGTTTTCTCACGCGTGTACGATCAATATACGATACATATGTTATTTTAAGAAGTTACTGAATTACAATGGAGTCCCTTCAAGAAATTTGTCAATACTTAAATCCGAATACGCGACTAGACTTAAAAGCTGTTGCATTAGAACATATCCTCAGTGAGTAATTGTGATCAAAAAGTGTTCAATCTTTGTGATCCTAACCTCTTATTTTTATTAATTTTCATAATAATCTTTGAATATCAGGCGTAACTGGAACCACAGAAGGACGAGAGCTGCTATTAAAACTTCCAGATTTATTGACGCAATTAATTGCGTTGACACAAGATTCTTCTGCAGCAATCTCCAAAGATGCAGCTCTGGCTTTAATAAACATAACTGCGGATGAAGCGGGAACCAGTGCATTTTTGTTGATATCAGAAACTCACCCAAAGGATGGAAAATATAATTACAATTTAATACATGTTTGTATTAGGTAAGCACATTATTAACAAGACCAAATAACACTCTTCTTTCTTTTTTTCATCATTTGCTTTTCTTGATAGCTGTATAATGGACGAAGAAAGCATCTTGGCAGATCCATGCTGCATGATCCTTTCCAATATGACCAGACCACAGCACTTGGTTGATAGAGTTATAGCACTTATTGAAACAAGCGGTTATACATGGGACTCTATTGTGACAGCATTCACTGCGATTCATTACAACAATTCTGGAGCCAACCTTCATTATTTAGGCCCAGTTTTCAGTAATCTCAGTCAGTCTCCACATGTGAGAAGGTGATCATTAATTAATCCTTTATAATTGATATCTAATCGCTAATTAATATGTTTATAAATTATAATTCATCAAATTGCGAATTTAATGTCCATAGGTATTTAATGGACAAAGACCGCAGTGTCATCCAGAGACTGCTTCCTTTTACAGAATATGCAAGCAGCTTAGTGAGACGCGGTGGAATTATTGGCACTTTAAAAAACTGTTGCTTTGATGTACAAAATCATGAATGGTTATTAAGTCCTGAAGTGGATATTTTGTCATACCTTTTGTTGCCATTGGCTGGACCAGAAGAGTTTGATGACGAGGACAATGATAAATTACCAACTACTCTGCAATATTTGTCAGAGACGAAAACGAGAGAGCCAGACTTGGATATCAGGTGCAGAAACGTATCTATGAAAACAATAATATTTCTAAATGGAAGTTGTTATTTTTTTGTTGTGTTTTAGGATCATATTACTAGAAGCCTTAGCTCAACTTTGTGCAACAAGGAAAGGCAGGGAAATATTGAGAAAACAAAATACATATATAATACTCAGAGAGTATCATAAATGGGAACAGAATAAGAATGCGTTGTTAATCTGTGAGAACGTTGTAGATATTTTGATCAGGTACGAAATTTTGCTCCTATTTTACAATCTTATATCTTTTCCAATTTTCTTTTTAAATTGTGATTCTTAGCGAATATTTCTTAAATTTTAGGACAGAAGAGGAAATAGGCTTGGATAATCTGAAAGACGTAGAAGTCCCCTCGGAGTACACAGAAAAATTCCATAAAATGGATCAAGATTTTATTAATAGTACATGAAGAAGTATCGGTGCAATAATAGGAATTGCCTCATATTTCATACATATTACACGAGAAATGTACATATTATAATAAAACGATAATTTACCTCAGGAGAGACGAGGCTGCGCGTGGTATTGCACTGTTCCCTTGCTTCGTTTGTTAAACTATCTTTAGTCAAGTTATCAGGTCCTGTGTAGCAACAGAGGATTGACAAAAGTACAAACTAATAATTGATCATATTCAACCAAAAATCTTACAAACAGATCTATGCTAAATTGGATCAGCTATCATTGCGAATTATTTTCACGCATACATTAAACAGCAGTCAAAAAGACGAATAAAAAAATTGTTTACATCTCAATAGATACTTTGATCTATAAATAATTGTCAAGAATGCAAAAATAAAGGAAAGAAAATTTTACAAGTGATAATGCAGGTACTTGCAAGATATTCGTACACGTTATCAGAATGACGATATTGAATATTTTCCTTTTTTGTAATGTCTGTAGTGCGAACAGTAAATCGCTAATTTTAGCGTGCTCGACTCAGAGCCACTTTTGCTGAGATCAAGTCTCGCAGAAACGAGAATATGGTACCGTTATGGAAAGAACTGGTACATTTCTGCGAACCATGTAAATGACAGTACCGTTATTAATTAATATACACGCGCTATAATATCAATATATACGTAGACATTACATTCCCGTGATTTTTCATGCCAATTAGCTTGAATCAACTAAATAGTAATTGAATATCGAAAACGCGAGCTCAAGGTCTTTCTTTAGTAAAAGACAAATAATATTCTAAAAGTAAAAATAGAAACTATTATCGCTGGAGCGTTTATGCCCTCGTAAAAAATAATTCGATATCTTTTACGTATTTCTTCCTGGACGTTCTCTTTGAAGTATTTATTTCAGTATTTACACCTCTTTGCTGAATGGTGTCTTTTTTTAATAAAAAATAAAAAAATAACTTTATATATATATATGTATATTTATGTATAATATCTACTAAATCTGATCGAAAATTCTTTTTGAAGAATAGACTTTTCTATATTTTTTTATGTCAAGTTATAACATGACGATTGATCAATGATTTATACTTTATTTAATTTTAATTACTAGGACAAATTGCTAGGATAAATTTAAATCTTTTAAACTTCTCGGTATCTTATTTTTTACTTAAGGTCGTGTAAACGTCATTACTGTATAATTTGACGCATTAATTTAATTTACAATCATCCTGTGATATAACTATATTTTCTAATCCTTATAATTTGCCGATCAGATCAAGTAGAGGGTGTAATTTTATCAAGGAAAAAAGGATGTTCATGGTAAGTAGCCTAAACCAGCCTCCAGACTAATGGAACTCTTGACGCTGGAAGCGTTACTGGTTCGCCTGCTGATTCTACTCGATTCAGCGCCGAAGATGGCCGCGATTTCCGCGCTTTTCTTGATCGAAAGGGCTTCGTGATGCGCTCCAGATCGACTGGAACAATGGGAAAGACATTTCTTGTCTCTGTCAGCGCCACCGACGTACACTAAACGGCCCTGCGTGTCTCTAGCACTAACGACTAGCACCTTCTCGCTGTCTGAAGACTGTTGAGACTTTCGTCCTGGATTGAACAGGTCGTAATCTAGGGCGAAGTTGTTCGAACTACCGTAGCTTGACGATGACTGCTTCTGGAAACGAATAAAAACAATAAGAAGCCTCGTTCATCGTACTATAATCAACTAAAATTTCTTCATTTATAATCAAACAAACATTTTTTCTAATAGTTGGAATAGATTGACGAACCGTTCATTCCTCTCATCTTAACAATCCTCTATAAAAGATCAAGAAATACAAGAGATTAGAAAATGAGTTGATAAAACAATCAGCAATCAACAATTTAGGAAACGATTATTTTACTACCTACGTTAATTTACCAACCAATGCTAATACACACGTTGTCACAAACTTACGACTATAGGGAGAATTCACTGCAGCGTTACCGACAGAGTTTTGCGAATATCTCGGAAACTAAGCGAAACCAGCGTATGAAAAGGTTGTTCAAAATATCGATTTCTACAACATATCCAAAAATCATTGGAATCGAAGATGAGGTAACTTTCCTACACTTCGATGTAATTTAACTTGATTAATCTTACTCTGTGTCGTTAATGTTATTGAAACTGTTTAAGCGTTTCAGAGAACGAGAAAAACGCATATTTGATCAAACAATCGAATGAAAAGATAGCTTCGATGTAGAATTACTGGACAATATATCGAATTTTATATACAGGGTGGTTGGTAACTGATGGTCCAAGCGGAAAAGGGGCGATTCTACGCGAAGAAAGAAGTCGAAAATATAGAATACAAATTTAAAAATTTGAAAATTTAAAAATTTAAAAATTTGAAAATTTAAAAATTTAAAAATTTGAAAATTTAAAAATTTAAAAAT